GTTGAGCACTGAGTTGTTTCAAGGACTCGGGGAAAGCCAAGCAACAGTGCCCCACTAGCTTCTTGTAATCTTGGATCACCCCAGACTATAAGATAACTGAAGGGAGGCCTGGCTCGTGCCAACAGCTTCCATCACTTGCTTGCCCATCTTAAAATAATGCTACCCACATTGCCACCAATTGGATCTTGGTCTTCCAGTTGGGTGGGAGGTGGTGGGGATGGGGCATCACATTGCAAGTAAAGTACTGAAAGCCTCCTGGAGCAGCAGAACCAGGAGAATGGTCAGTCACATCAAGAGCATAGGATGCTAGATGTAGTAAACTACGATTAAAGTAAGAAAAGTAAAAAGTCCTAAAGGAAGCAAGAGTTGTTCAGTATTATTGCTTATATTCAGGGGTCCTCTACCCCTCACACAGAAACCCTATGAACTTCACAGGAGTTAATCAGCTCCAAAGAGAGACAGTAAAAACCTGCCTGTTCCTGCCTGCAGAGACAGAGTATAGATGAGCATACCTCTGTCTAAAGGTAGAGTGGAAGCGTGTCCGGAAAAAGCTGCAGATAAAAGGACARAGCTATTATCACACCAGTCTAGTGAAATATTTGCATATGTCTTTAATACCAGCCACTCCCCGTATCATATGACAAGAATAAACACACCAAGATTGTTATAATCACAGAAAATGCCAAGTCCAACATACCCAGCTGTGAGAAACCCCCTCACACAGCAGCAAAAGCCTTGCCTATCTCTGGGCCTAAAGCTTCACAGTGCTGGGAACCCTGAGGTTGACTCTGGGTTTGCTGTCAGTCACCTTTCTGTCTCCCAGGACCTCATTCATTGGAAATTCATTGGAAAACATTCAGCCAACTGATGGACAAAGGTGAACCTGAAGTGCATTGCCTCCAGCACCACTTTGATGAGTGAAAACCGGTTGAGATGGTTTTGAACTCTGATGGGGATTGGAGGGAATGAAAAACTTCCCCCGTCTCTCCCATTTTTTTTTTTTTTTGTTAAAAAAAGAAACAGTCAATGCATCTCAGCCATTTGGAAATACTCCAATCACTTTTCCAGTGTCTACAGCTCATCAGTTCAATTTTGAAGCGTCCTGAAGCATTGCTAGCTCAGCTAATTGAAGCTAATTTCTTTATGCATCTTTCCTTTTTCACCTTCCCAGCAAGGTGAGACCCATTTCAGATTTGTAATGGCAGCACTGAGTAGTGTTCCAGGTTTCTGGCAGCGTGAAGCCCTTCTAGTTTAATTCCTAAGGAATGGGGGGTTTGTCTAGGTAATTCAAGTGACAGACTTTTCAGTTCCACAATACATCCAAGATGATCTGAACAAAGACAGAAAGATGTATGACTTAAATGCATATAAAAAGTTCTGAAAATGCATTTTCTATTTAAGGAGCATGTATAACAAAATAAAACAACCCCCTACAACAATGACTGATTCTGGTGTCATTTGCACCAATTTKAGATTGGAGTTTCCTTCTGCTCCCATTTGGGGCTACCCCTAGGGTATATCTGTACAAGAGAAAGGAAACCCCAAGCTGAAGTCATGCAAGGCAACTGGACAGTCCCTTAGCATCTGCTAAAGCTCAAGCAGTTTTAATCTCCAACATCCCATTCCTTAGCAGACAGCCATGCAGAGACCACAGTGCTCAGATATGTCAAAAYTCCATTTCTCCCGAGACCGCAACAGGACCTGGAACCTCCGAGCCCCCAAAGACTGAGGAAACCTTCCAATGTTGGATCTCAACTACACGGACAATGCCGCTATTTCTGCTTCCAGGAATGGATCTTTTCGTAACTGCATTCTTGCTATTAAGCCTCCTGCATGGTTAAGGCAGTTGCGGGATGGAAGCGAAGTGCTTATAGGCTAAGGCCCGTTTGCATTTTGGGAAGCAGCGGGATGTCTGTGACCCGCCACTCATTTTTCTACAGCAAAAAAATGGGTTGGAATTGATTTGGAATTGGGCTGAAAGTGATTTGGAATTGAGAAAAACAAAGAGCCTGTTGAGATGGATGAAGATTTTTGTTCGCGTGTTTTGTTGAAATAAAATYTAGTTCGAATCTGTATGAAAGTTCTGATAGTAAAGCTCTTCATGAGGCAGGTTTCTGATACATCCTTAAAAATAAAAATATTAATTAAAAAAAAAGCAGGAAAGGGGAGAGCTTTTCAAAGGTCAATTATTGCAAGAAATAAAACAATTGTGTACGTTCTCATAAACAGCATAAAAATAATGAAAGTAATCCCATGTATCTGCATCTCCCACACATACCAAAAGAACATATTAAATAAAATCAAAAAGTAAAATGAATGTATGAAGTGCTTTAGAATCTGGTTGCTATAAATCTGGTTAAGGGAGATTTGTGACTGTACTGACAAACTGCAGTTCTTGAAYATTTGGGGTTTGTTTGGCATCGTGTCAGCATGTTATTCTCATTCACCTTGGACTTTCAGAGATGAAAAAATGAAGTTGTGAAAGGGGTTACGGAAATTCAAGCAATCAGGCGGTTCTGTTCTGTGACATTTGTGTTCTTCCTCAAGGTGTGTGTGTGTAGTACAAAGTTATGAACTAACATCTGAAAAAACAGTAGTCTAAGTAATAAATTTTCAAAATTAAGAAAACTGTACAGAATGATTTCCAAGGCTTATACTTGACAATTATACATATTTTATGAGACAGTTATGCACCCTGTGCCTAAATTCATTGTTTTGTGGATGCAGTATCTCTATAAAATAAACCAATCTAATGGCCTAAAAAGTCTCATTTACCTCCAGCATAACAATGGCACTGCATAGCTTTATTTTTTTTTTTAACTCTTTCCTTAACCAAATGATTCTTAACATTCAACAAACGAACAACCAAACCTCTACACTTTCAATATTCGTCGAGTATTTGGCACAGTGGAGTTTATTTCAYGTACCTTTTTTGCCCTTATTGTTGCTGAACGTTTAATCGTGTTCATAAATTAAACATACAGGTAAAGTCCAATGGCTGGAAGCAGTTTGGTTCCCTCCCCCGCATATTTAAATGTCAAGATAAGAGCAAATTTTTGCTAAAAAGGTATTGAACATGAGTGGCAAGTTATCAAYCCACTGTAATTGTGCCAAGTGCAGTGTGTCCACTGCCAGCAATGGACCATGACGTTGGGAAGATCAGTGACTCCACCAGCTGCATGGGAGTGAGATCCAGCATTTGGTTTGACATATCAGCTTATGTCTCCAAATGCCTGCAAGTTCACAACAGCTTCAAAATACAAAGAAAATAAGGAGCTTTCTGATTAATGATGCTAACCCTTAAACCCCTTCTGACATTTACTCCATTGGAAATGAGTCTGCTTTCCATTTCTGACTGGGGAAAACTCATCAACTGCAAAAACTCTGTATTGCTTACCAAGGGAATTTTTCAGAAAAGAAAAAAATATACTAGCAATATAAAGTTGAGCCAAATGCTTCTTGAAATCAGATAAAAGTTTCCCCTTGATTTTGGCAGCATGGGTTAGGACAGCAATTGCAAAGGCAAAGCCAAGTCCACCTCTGTGTAGGAGCATCTTGAGGATTCGAAGGAGTTTCGGAGGTGCTCAATGCTGACCCACCTTTGCACCTAAAATCCAATCTTCCATGGAAGCRTTATCTGCAGATCCTAGGGCACAACATGGCCTCTAGATGGAAATATTATCTACTACTTTTTTTTTTAATCAGGCTTCTGTTGAAGTTAGAGGAATTTCTCAGGTGAAAAAATACCAGTTGTGAGTTGCAGGTTTAAGGGCAGCATTCCCTTCATTTGTACACACGCACGCGTACACACACACACACACACACACACACACTTATTTTAAAGAAGACATCCACCACATAATTTCTAGATTGCAAATTATATATATATATCTTTAAAAACTGAAGAGAACATGAACAGTCTCTCCATATATATATATGTATTTACTGAGTCACATATAATATGAAAAAAACTATATTATGTAAATCATCATATTATCTATAATTCTCCAACTGGCAATTATTTTTTATAGAGACACAGTGCATTTGCTCGCTTTTTTAAAAACATAGTATGTGTCCTCATTGGCTTGGTAGCATATTAGAATGAAGGCGTATGGATAAAAAACGCAGAGGATTAAACAAACCCCTTGAGTCACGTTATGTTTGGGTGAATTAAACAGGACTCCTTCCCAAACTAGCATAAATAAATCCTCCCTCTGGAAAAGTGTCAGCGATTTAAGGGTTAACATAAACTTGAAAATCATTAAAAAAAATCTTACTGGAGGACTATACAGACAAATATTTGGAATTCATCCCCCTTTAAAATGACAGCACGTTTGGCAAGTGTGAGCAAATGTCTTGACATGTCTTTACTGGGTCTAAAAGATCTGAGCACAGCTATTCACAGACAACCACGAAGCTGCGATCTGTGAAGATGCCTTGGCTGGAAGGAATTTGTGAACTTGGACCTCACTGATCGCTGCCTGGAGGCTTCTCAGTGGCTTTCAAGGTGTTTCACTCCTGGCTGGTTGAACAACTCTTGCACCGTTCCCTCRTTGCGGTCACCAGGAGAGCGCGTTGGGCTTGAGCAGCGCCCAGACCAGCTAACCCGTTAGCCYGTACTGCAGAATTAACGGGGCCACACGCATCCCCAGGACACGCTAACACCTATTCTGCCATTGCCTTCATCTTCTTCCTCCTGCGTGCCTCATGGCCAAGCCTGTCCATGCGGTGAGCTCTCCATCAACCTCTGCAGCTCCTGATGCTCTCCATCTGCTTCTGGCTTGGAAGCCTTGCACTATCACCAGATGGGCTGGGAGCCAGCCACATCAGCGTTGCATTTTCTCCATCACCCCCACAGGGTTTCAAAAGTGATCCCACTGAAAGAGGAGGTTGTTCTGAATCCCGGATGGATCTGATTTTGAGAAAAAGACCAAAGTTTCCTGTGTTGCTGTTGTTTTGCAATTATATTTCTTCATTCTCGCTCTTTTTTTTTTTTTTTAAAAAAAAGGACCCTTACATTATTAACATAGTTCATCCATCCATAGTCACTATAAAACAGACTCCATATTTTCACACCACTCATGATCTTCAAGGTTATAGATAAATTTTGTCCTGTGCGACTGATTTTGGGGCACCGAGTCCCGCCCCAGATTGTCTAGGGTGAGAGTAGAGGCAAAAAACTCACTAGTGCTGAGACCACCTTCGTGGTTCTTGATGTATCTTTTATAGTTTTTCCTCAAGCATTGCCAGGTGGTGGTATACAAGATGAATGCAAAAGACTTCAGGGCTATAGCGATACTAACATACAGGTATCTATAGACCACATTGTCATACAGCGCACAGGCTCCTTGCTCGCCACAAAACGTGCTCCAGAACAGACACGTGGAATCAATTCCAGCCCCAAAGATCAGCGGAGGTGGGATAAAACCTGTCAAGATAAGAGAGACAAATTGTGCTTTTATGATCTTTATGATAAAACGAGAGGGGACGTGATTGCAGTGAATGAAAAGAGAGGGTACTTTATCAAGGTTAATGGTCCCAGATGGAGCCTGGGATACTCTCTAATTTTTTATGCTTTAAATCAACCTAAATAAAGTTTGTGGATATGGACTATGTGAATTTTTAGCTTGGACTCCACATTTATGTAAGTGATTCCTCCCTATATCACAAATGCAGGGAGGATTTTATTCTAGTTTAAGTGCCTTTTATTAAGTTTCTGGTTTATCTTGTGAGACTGGGTGGAAGGGTGAGTGGAAATGAGGGAGGAGAGCCTTGCAGCTTCCCTTCTGGTTAGATACTCCCTACTCTGTCTTCTGAGGTGTTCACTTGTATGATGATGCCAGAGGGCTCCATTTGAGAGTATGAAATGTGCTGTGGCATTGAGATCTAGTTTTCCCTGACACAGGAAAACCCTTTCKCAGGACCTGAGAAAAAAAACCCAACAATCTCCAATATAAGCCAAAGATAAAGGCTGAAAGGAAGTGAAACCTTTAYTGTGGCATTAAATGAAATATTGCAGCAGGATTCCCTCACAATCATTGCAGTTAACTGCAGATGAACATTTATCAATTGTAGATTGCAAGCAGGCTACAATCTTAAAGCAGTTGTTCTGATCTCATTTAACCAATAAAGACAATGTTTTTCTCCTTCGTTCTTTATCATTTAGCAGGGATAGACAGAGATCCCCAGTTCCATATCAGGATTTTCTGAAAATCAAGATGTTTCACCCTGAAGAGAACCAAGGTCACCTGCAAAGAAGAGTCACTGAGTTTCCAGACTGAGCTGGGTCTGTTTCCAAGTTAAAAGTGTGCATTTTTTTTAAACCTGCAGACAACTGCAAAGTCATTCTGGGATTTAAAAATGCGGTGGGCTCTTGCCAGAAGCAAGTAAACAGATTGTGCTGCTGATACAGGAGTCAGGAAGGGATCCAGTTTGTATGATCAGTGCTGTACTGGCTCTGGATGTTCCCCTAAGGAGGTAACAGCTAGATGTGGAAGGGGTGGAGGAACCATGAGCTTTTTGCTTTCTGCTCTAAAAGGAGGCTGCATTTGGACCATTGTTTTGAGTTTTGGAATCCTGCTTAATATCACATTGAGAGGAGTTGATATAACACTTCTGAAACGCACAGGCTGAACTCCAGAGACAGCCATCACCCACATCTGCTAGTTTCACCTGGTTTCCTAGGTTCTCAAGATAACTTGATATCTACATTTTGGRTTGCTGTTGACAAATGCATCAGGTTTGGGTCAATTCAAGGCTATGCAGACCCCATAATTTTTCATGTCTGTGGCACACAGGATCACTTGAAGAGATCACCTCCATGCTCACAGAAGTGATGAAAAGGAATCCAGCTTAAACTGATACACCAGGCATAAAAGTAGCAGAGCCTGTGGTAATCTGAGCATTGCCATGAAAGGCCCAGGTGGGATTCTTCTGCACAGAAACCGGCAGTTGCTCTCATAAGACTTGAGGAAAGACCTGTCTCGCTGACCTTCAAAGCCACACACCTATGTGGATACAGGCATAGATGTGGAGACTGTAAAGAAAAATACATGAAAAACTTCTCTTCAGCAACCAGCTTTAAAGCTCTTTTTCATCATGGGAATGAGCAAGAGATTCACCGGAGTGACTCTACCGAGATAGAGCCTCTTAAACCTCAGAGCTGTGGGGCTGCTGGCACTGGAGATTGGGAAGTTCCTTAGACAGAGATGTTGAGAGAAGAGAGGCAAAGGAAGGAGGGTTTGTAGGAGAAAGCAGGGGACCTCCACGGGTAAAGCAAAGCATATTCTAGCATGCACTGTAAACACTACCTGGGAAAGCAAGTATCCAGATTCCTCTAAGATGTATAAAACCCTTTGACATTCCAGACATGATCTGTCAATGCTGACAATTCCTGATACAGTCTGGATGGAGTTATCAAGGTCTTGTACTGCTTCCACTGATTGCAAAATCTTTTTTTTTTTCTCTCTTTTTTTCCTTTCAGATGGGCTTGACCTGCACATTTCCTATCCAGCTCAGAACCTGCCCGTATGCTGGGTGCAGACAGACAGAAATTTCTGCCTTCTGATCTTTTAAGCCATGGCTTTCTATGTAGGCATGAGCTGTTACAGGAAAAGAATGGCCATACCGATGCCTCCTGCACAGCAGTTGCTGCCTTCAAAACCCTTAGTCTCTAACAGTGCTGCTTTATATTCCTCTCTGAGAAACTGCAGTAACACTTATATGGAGATACTATTATGTTACTCTCTTGCACTAGAATTCCTATGGAATGAGATAATAGATCCAGGGAGATACCAGAATTCAGTTTTGTTTCATGTTAGTATATAGAGAATGTTAAAAAGATTCAATTATGCTTTACCTCTTATTGCAAAATGTTGCAAAAAATCCTGCTATATATGTATATGTATTTCACTGCAGAAACTATACAAAGCTATAAGCAGAAGCTATAAATTACAGGTSTATATCCCCCCAAAAGCTGTCTCTGTCTTACTGAAAACCATTAGCTATAACTGCACCTCTGGGTCTCATACTTCCTATTTTTAATACTCTCCTTTGGTTCAAGAAGCAGCTATTATCACTCTTCTTAAGCCAAAGCTTAAAGGTGATCTCAAAAGCTTTCAAAATAAATCAGTAAAGCTGATCTCAATCTTCAGATCATTAAGGGCAAAGTTTGGATACCTGTGCTTACACTGAATAGTACCTTTCTCTTAATTTTCTATGTGTTTTAGCTACTTTGCTGATACGCTCCGGGATATATTCTCTTATTTCATGGGAATTCTCTAGTGACAGGGCAACATATAAAAGCTTCAGCCTAAATCCTTATTATGGCTTCTTTACTSTCAAAAAAGAGGTCTATTCAACCTGCCAGAGCCTAGTTACAGTGGAATTCAAGATGCTGCCATCTCCTGCGCTTTCCTCTTTCAAAGGGAAAAGAGAAAATAGGGAAGAACTTTACCCTTAAGTAATTTCCTTGTGGGAACAGGACCCCAGAGCTATTCTTCTTACACACTTGCCTGCTGACACCRCATTCAGCCAGCTGAAGACAGGCAAAAATCTAAGAGTGGCACGGACAGCAAAAGAAAACGCTGTCTTTGCAAGGCTTGATCTAGAGCTAACTAAAGTCAAGCCAGAAGCCTCCCCTAGAGTCATCCAGACTTTGGATAAGACTGCTTGCTTATATTGAGCTTTTGGTACGAATGCAGCTACTTTATTAAAATAATCCGTTTGACTTTAATGTAAACTGGAGTGGGACCATGTGGACATGTCATTCCCCAGAGGAATGACTGAAATAACTAGGTGAGCAGCAGGCAGGTGCCGAATGTCTTCCTTTTTATTCAGATACGAGAAATATATACTGAACCTGAGGAATGGCCAAATGCATTTAATGGGATATTAATTGAGAGCACAAGGACTCAGTTTGCTTCATTTCATAGTTTTCACTCCTGAGAGACCAGAAGGGATGAACCCCATCAAATACACTTGACCCTGTCCCTCAAATGAAGGAGAAAATATGCAGTCCTCTCCTTCAGCAATCCACAATCAAAGAGCAATTTTACAAATTGCTGACATGTCAATAATAACTATAGGACAGTAACTGGTTGTGTGGCATAAATGGTAACTTCTCATGGACCAGCACTTTTTTTTTTTCATTGCCAATTCAAATGGCAGGAAAAACACGTGCCCTTCTTTCCCTGTGAGCGTGCCTTTTTTTTCCCTTTGGGAGCTTTGATCTGATAATGTTCAAAGGGAAATCTCAGATGCTGTTGGTCTGACCCCCTCGTAAGAGCTACCGYGTGTCACAGAAGGTAGAGCAGGTTTGCATGGAGCAGAAAACAATATTCACAGGTAGACATACACTAAAAATACAGCGTTCTGAAGGGAAAGAAAGGAAGGACATGARATTTCTGCACCTACCTAGTAAACGCAGGAGTAGGAAAAGTACCCCCAGAGCATAAGACTTGAGTTCAGGGCTCACGGTTCTGTAGGGAGAAGAGAGGTAGAGTGAATCGATTCTTGGTGCTCTGCTTTGATTAACACATCCCTTGGTGATTCCTCACTGTCAGTCAGGATGCCATCATAACCTCCTCAAGAAGTCATTAATGGGATTTTTCTCCTCCCTTTGCCTAAACTGCCTACAGCCCCAAAAGTAATTGCAACTTTGGCCATGGGATAGGTTTATGAATTCAGTGGAGTCATTAATAACTGCATTTAATCTTTCCACTGGAAGGGTAAAGATCAAATTCCCAACTCAGTAAATCATCATTTACAAATTCCATCCAATACTTGCAAGATTCCAGATGCTGTGATGTGATGGGAGAGAAATCTTTCGCTGTGAGACTTCTCAGACTAATGGAAATAAGAGAGGGGAAGGAGGACGGTGGACCATGAGATTCAGTCAGTCTATTAAATCAAGCCTCCTAGAGAGGATGGGTTTGTGCAGAATAGTTTCAGGAGACCGGGGAGCATCTGAATTTGTGTTACACGGGGAAGGCAATGGCTGCTTTGCCTTTTGCTATGAACAGAACCCACTCTACTTCATTAGCATGAGCCTTCAAAGGTGCATAAAAATCATTAATGGCTTTCGGATTTACCTAGCTCAAAGATGTTATTGGCTAAATTGGGTAGGGGTACCCTCTTGGGTAGGGTCTGTAAAGTCTTTGGCATTTCAAAAATCATTATTTTGGTCTGAAGTCTTTAATAGCCTTTTAGGGCCCCCAATATATAAGGGCTGGGAAAGCAGGGCAGCGGGTACAGCACACAGAAACCGCAAGGCGTCAGTTGCTTTTTCCACTAAGTCTTTACAGGGGTGCTGTACTCAGCAAGGTGAATGACACCCATGCTGGAAGTGGTGGTCTCCATTATAAAAAACTGAAGGGGAATCAGACAATGCTGATAAAACTGTCAAAAAGAGTAATCACTTTTAAGTTAAGAGAAACTATTTTAACCACTTGTCCTAATCTCAGACATTACACAGGCCATATAACATCATAGTGTGGTTCCTGAAGGTAGCCTGTGACTTGTGGTTGAATTGAAGCAAGGTTTTCAGGTAGACACCCATGTGCTGTAGAAAAATTTTATACCATGAAGTAACTATCCTTGGAAAAATATTCCAATGGTTAAAGACTTCATTCAGAATACTTTCTACAATAGTGTGAGGAGTGAAGGAATCAGAAGGAATGGTGGTTGTTTGAAGAACATGAGGTGATAGATGACAAACAGCTCTTCCCTGTGAGTTTTAATTGCTATCTATGATTCTAAGGAGAGGGAAGTTATAAATTTCAATGTAGGAAATGTTTATTTTACACAGCTGTGAGCTGAGCATTTTTAGTGTTTCCTTCCCTTTTTCCTCTACTTGTATTCTCCTTCCTGGCTGGTGACAGGCTGATCTCATTTGAAGTCATACACTAAGATGAGACCATTCAGGATCCTACAGGTGCTTGCAATTTCCTTGCACAAAAAGCCCTTTGAACCTCAAAATGTTTGCCACAATATTTAACATTATAAATCTGATTCCCCTTTAGCAACTGTAGATACAAAGAGAGAAATGAACTAGCAGGTGGAATATCTCATTTTATGTCCTGCAGGGAGACATAGCCTCATAGAGCTGCTCTGTCCAAGATGCATTTAGGAGTGCATCTAATACAGACCTTATTGATTTAATTTTATTGGAATCTTCCAGGCTGCAGAATGGATCTGCTATTTGTGCCTCTGGTTATTATCCTCAGTAAATGACAGCCTGGACAAAAAAGTAATTCTGAATAAACCTGAGATTATACACATATATATATATATATATATACACACACACACACACACACACGCACACACATACACTACCTGCAATTCATAGGGTGAAGTTCTATGTTTCTGGAAATAACACAAGGTCACCCATTTGAATAAGCTACTCTTGTCCACTTATTCATTTTGGCTCAACACAGAGATGTCCTTCATACCTTCATGTTCTCCATTTCTTGGGCTAAGTCCAGAGTGAGAGAAGCCAAGAACAGAGCCAAGGCTGTACTGACCAAAACTAGCCTTTGCCATAGTCTGTCCGTCTTCCTTCCTTCCTTTTTCTCCTGCTTTTCTATGGGACAGAGCTTTCGCCCAAGCCAAAGTGAACTATCTGGAGACAGCCAGTGCAGCCCAAAATGATGGATGAAGGAATGTTATGTGAGATGCTGGCTCTCCACAGCTCCAGACAGCACCCCATGCCCTGCGTGGCATCTTGGCCTCCCTTGTACCATCAGTGAGGAGTCTTCCCACCACCCTGCAGCGCCTACAAGTGCATCAGCTCCTCCACGCACTGCCCTTACCTGATGAGTATGATAACCGACGGCGTCTGCGCCATGGCCCCGATCATGCTGCAAACACACATCACACAGAGGAATGTCAGGAAGGCTTCTTCGCAGCCGGGACTGGGGCATTTTCCAGGAACGACCGTTGCGTTTTCAGCTGGGAGCGAGCTGAGGCACGAACAGCCGCTGAGATTCTGCAAAGGAGCACAGGGGGTCAGAGAAAACTAGACCCGGGGTCCACAACACCAGCACTCTACAATGATGATTTACCCAGGAGCAACCCTCAATTTTCGAATGGTCAAATAATTAAGTGCACATTTGAGGTGGTTTGGAAAAGATTTCAAAAACAGGCCAGCTCTGATGCACATTATCAGCAAAGGAGAGCCTTCCTTATGCTTGTGTGTTTTCTATCTCTTCTTCCAAATCTCTCCCATAAAAGTCACTGCCACAAAATTACTAACAAGTTATGTCCCTTTTGAGAAGAATAAAGAAGTGATCTGTGTTTCTGCCTCACCAAAGATCCTCAAATTATGGTTCTAATTACTTTCTTATTTACCTCTGTCTTCTTGGCTATTATAATTAAGCTGGTACCCATTAAAAAGAGGTAAATCTGAAGCCCTGTCCTTGGCTATCCATCCCGTCTTGCTCCAGTGCCTCGAACCCTGGGAAGAACACCCTGCACGTGCCTTAGCTCACCAAGAGCCATCAAAGCTGGGTGGTAGAGGCACTACGGGACTCAAGGGCACTGCTGGGCTAATAAATGCCATTTAGTTCAGTGGGAACTGTGCAGAGCTAAAGGCTGAAGTCAGGCAAGATACATTTTATCAATATGCAATCAGAAGGAAAGAGAAACAACCACATTTTTCTTTCATCTCTCCAGCAAGAGCAAAATGTCAAAAGAAGCTTTGTTTGCTAGTCATAGATTTAGGACTTTTTTTTTTTTTCTTATTTTCCAACTCGCCCTCCTGAATTTCTGAGGCGGGGGGATGTCAATACAATTAAGGCTTACAACACTACCCTTATCAAATCCCTTAATGAATACAGAAGGAAACGATCATAAATGATTCATGGCTTGTCTTCAACAGGCTGCGGGGTTTGCAGGTCACATGTTTGTAARAGAAGTAATGCCATAAAATGAAATACATTAAAAACCAGCTAAATCTCCTCCCTTTTCTATTTACCACATTCAAGCAGAAATTTCTTTGCACTTTCTGGTTCACTGCCTCCAAAGATAAGGATCCGTGGGGACATTGCTCTAGCCCTTCTGACACCAATCTCTTTCTTCTGCATCRGAGTCAAACGATTTCCCTCCAAATAAGTGCACAGAGGGCAAAAGAGACGGCAGCGCAGAACTCCAGGAAGGCTGGAGTAGATGTGCAGATGCCTTTTCGTCTGGCAAGCAATAATTAACGTAACGAACTCCCGCACTGTGAGCCAGAGCTGCCACCTGAAGGCTTTGCAACGGGGACAATTAGCAGCACTGCGGTGGTGTTTGCACAGGGACAACGGGGCAGTGATTTGTAATTCCTGGCTGTCACTGTGGTGCCTAGCTAGCATCCAGGCAGAACATAAGCCAGCAGACTAAGCCTYGTCTTAGTCCAGGGAAATGCATACCTGTGTTGAAATGCTCTAGGGCAATTTTCCTACCCTTTGGAAGGGGAGGCTCATTATGGCCTTGGCTTAATGTGCTGGGCAGCACAGCAAACACAGAATGTGCTGCTTGTTCCCTATGGGGTCTCATCATTGTGGGAAAAAAAACAGATAAAAAAYATTTCTGGCAGTAGTGGGGCAGATTCAACCCAGTGTGATTTCACATCTGGTGTAACAAACTATGAAGCAGTGAAACCCTCTGCCCTGGTCATGAAAACCTCCAGTGTGCTTTGGGAACAGCGGGCTGAATTGGGTGGAAATAGCAGGGCCAGGATCCTCCTGGGAGCTCCGTGGCAAAGGCACCACACGACTTCCCTGCAGCTCCCGGGCTCCTGACAAGCTCAGCTCTACTGTCCCAATCACTGCCTTCCCCCTCATTCCACTTCTCAAACCATTTTGCACCAAAGTGTTATCTCAAGGCAGAGCAAATCGTTTGTACCAACTACATCTGCTTGCTAGTGCTCAGCCTCCTTACCTGGGTGATCTTTCATTTTTTATTACTGACGTGTGAAACAGCTCACAGACAAAGATAGACTTTTACCTGTGTCCTGTGGAGTGGCAACATTTTACTACCCACGTCAAATTGCTATCAATTCTCTGGGAACTCCCTCTATTCTGGCACCACTCAATAGCACGTTTATCACTGTCTTCCCTGAGCCCCACAGCTTGAACCCCACAGCTTGTACAGCTTGCACCCCACAGCTTGCATCTTCCCTGAGCCCCAACAGCTTGCACAATTTCCTATGTGTGCATGAAGCTGCATGGGCGCACAATTTGCACTTCAAGGGGCTCAAAAATACCCAGATTTTAGGGTATTTATGCCCACAAGTTACCCACGCTGATGGGTTTTCAGTACTGGCTGACAGGGATGGAACCGGCTGCTTTGGGTGCATCCTGGGACACTGGCCCTGTAACACCAAGCTGGAATTCACCTGCCTCCAGCCAAAAGGGCAGCTGAGAAAAGCAATGCCATAAAACAAGCAAGATGTATAGGCAAGGCTACATAAGCCAGGGTCACTTACAGGAGAGGAAGGACTATAGAAAAATCGCTGAGATGAGCGTGCCGGTGCTCTGCCTGTCAACGCTGTTATTCCTAATGCTTTTCAGATAGGCAAACCTCTGCAACCAGCTCAAGAGCAGAGACCAGTGCATTTGCATAAAAAAGAAAAAACTGAACTCTGCGATTAGAAATTGTCCACAAAGGAAAAGTGGAAGGAGGTGGTCAGAAACATCCGCTGCAGTAAAGTTAAACAAAGCATTCAGAGAATTTTATGTGCCAGTAAAACGCAACCCTCGGCTCATCACAAGCATATAACATCCACAAGACCCTCTAGACAGGTCATTACCTGGATTATGGGTTTAAAGACTGGTTTGACAGTTTGGCTTTGCCTCACGGCCATTGCATGGCCAAACTGGTCCATAATTCTTGATAATGCCCTTTCCAGAGGGTACTATTGCTTCATTAATTTGTGTTCAAAATGTTACTGCAAAGAAACAAAACAAAGCAACAAAAAGAAGCCCAAGATGACGATGAAAAGGCTAAATAAGAAGAGAGGAGAAGGAAGAGAGCAGATTTTGCTTGGAGTATTGGCCTCATTGAGCATCAGGAGATACCTGATTTCTATTRCTGTGCTCTAGGGAGGGAGGGAGAGGTTTGCTGCAAAACCCATGGCGAGGTCGTTCCTGCCTCCAGACATGGATTGCATGGGTTTTATTCTTGCTAAAGGCTTGCTAGATTGGTGAGAAACTATGCTGCATGTCCCGTACAACTGGGTGAGATTAACTTTAGGCTGGCTTAACTTTACCATTTACCTTAATTCTAAAAGGCAGGAGTTGTAATGGTAAAATAAAACACCATGTTTTATTCATGTGAAAAATTGAAAGGTTAATGACACACAGCAAAGGCTAAAACTACCACTTTGCATGGTAGAAAATGGTCATTTTTCCCTGTCCTGTCTTTGTGTATGCGGTGGCAGGAGGAGGACAAAGTGGCAGGAGGATGTCGTTAAAAAGAAACAGTATTTTGCCTGTGACTTCAGCAGAGCTAGGATGTTACCTAGAAAGAAAAGTGCAAATCATGGAGATGAGAGGCTCATTACTTGTTCATAATCCCCTTTCTAGAACAAAATCGAGGCTTTCATCTCGCAGTTCACAGTGATTAAAAGTCTGTATCTCGGCTAATTGTCTCTATTGTGTGTTTTTTTGCTTGATGATATTCAGCATAGAGATACAAATCCTAAGTTAATTAGCACCAGCCAGTATGTTTAGGGTAACTTAAACATAATGTAATTATTTTTCCTAGTGCAAATTAGGGAAATTGTCTTTAGTCTAAGGTTTAATTCAAAATACAACAGAAAGAACTGAACTTGTCTTTCAACCAGAAGAACTTAATTTCAATGTATTTTCTCAGAAAATAGCGTGGTGGCTAAGGAGGCAAATTGCAAGAAAGCAAAACAGAAGCACTAAATTATCAGAATTAAAAGGATTCAGTGGTTGAACTCATGGTAAGAAGAAAATGCTTACTAATTAACCTGTAAGATCCCAATAATTCAGTTTCGGAGTGACTGAAGCTGTAAGTGTATATATTTTTTTAAAAAAATGTAAAATTGGCAAAATATACACTGTTAGTAACTGGACAATCCATTCAAGTTACTACTTATGAAAATTTAAGCTAAAATATCTAGTGTTGTTTTAACACTGGCATTTTTGCTTCTCAGCTCAATGATTTTATATTTGCATTGTATTATTTCACATTTTTACTTAGTGGCAGTGGTTATCCAAACTCTGGATTATAAAGGTATAAATTATCATTCTTTTTTGTTCAAATACACAGTAGGCAGGAAAAGAGATGATAGTTATATAAATATTTTAATTAATGCTACTTCAGGTGTTTTTCACATGGGCAAGTCTGTGCAATTTATATATCTGAGTACAGCTTGCTACCTGACTCCCAGTCTTGTGGACTCTGTATTCCAGTGAAAGCAGCAATCCTAGCAATTCTTGTACAGTTCACAGCATCTATTTTTCCTTTGTTTAATTACAACACTTCAGAGTCATGCAATAAAATCCTCACATCACCATAAAAAAATTAATTAACTTTGGCCAAAGAGATTGATGGTGTATTCATTAATTAAAATGTGATTTACTTCCCTTTGGCTTCAGGAGATTAGATTTCATGATACAGCACTGACATTGCTGCTGACTAAAATGCAGTTTGTCTTTCCAAAATCCGTGGCCGTACTATGAAAGATACTGTAAAATGAGTGTGATATACAAATATTTTTTTCTGCTGATATTCCACGTTCATTCAACAAATGAAAGAACACTCAGCCTTACACAAGGAGTTTTGTGATTCTCCCCCCACGTGTGTATGCACACCCTGCTGCATGTAGGAAGATGCTTTCTTTGGGCAGGCCAAAAATACAAGTTGCACCCAGTTTGCAAAATATAATCATGAGTTTTCTGCTGGTGTAAATTCTAACACACATTCCTGCAGGCAAGGGGTGTTAAGCAGAGCATGCTCACCGTGCTGCTGCAGCCAGCAAAGCAGGCAGATAAGTAGGTGACCCCGTCGGCGCCGCACACGGGAGTGAAGGAATCGGTTTGGCATTCACAGTTGTTATTGCAGGGGGCATACGGGTCGAGAGGGGAGGTCGGAGTGGAGCTGCAAGAGAAACACAAGTCAGTGGGCAGTGACATTAGTGCCACACCAAGGTGGCTTTGAAGGGGATTAGTTAAGGTGAATAACTGAATATACAGCAAGCAGGCTGTCTGGGTCCTGCCATGAAGAGCTTCAGGCTGCAGCCTCTGCTGGGACAGGAATCCCTCGGCCACTATCCCTGCAAATGGGAGATCTTGTCTTGGCCAAGCGAGGCTCGGCCTGCCTTGTCTCCCCACCAAGCAGCCCCAAGGAACCCAAGGACATGCCAGGAGAGGTTGCTCTGTGTTTTTCTGGAACTGTAACAGYGAGCAGCAAAAAAACCTGAAGTCTTTGTCTTTTAGAGAGTCACCACTGCATTCTGAAGAGCAGCAGAAAATAAAATACATATTGACTCTCTTACAGTCAATCTGCAATGTATTGGGTGCCTTAATTCCCCCATCAAAAAGTGCCTGGAGCTTTGCAAGCCTCGTCCTCTGCATTTCCATGTCTACAACTTGGTTTGAGAAATTCTAGGGAAAGAGGCCTCTGAAAATCTCTTGGGACTCACTTGTTTCCATAGGGAACAGTAACCCCTGCCACGGGCCCGGTATCACAGCCCAGAAACAGGAACGACACGTAGCAAGCCGTGGACACCAGGTTCACCAGCATGGCCATCCTGATGGCTCCCAGAGCAGAGAGGCTGAGCTTCTTCACCAAGAGGCCACCCAGAAAGATGCCCAGACATGCACATGGAATTGCTGTCATCCCTGCAAGAGGAAAAATTGTTTAGGAGAAAGAGATAAGCAGGGTGATCAAACCACACTGTTGAGGCCTTTTCTTCACAACAGACAAATCTGTGCATTACCACAGGGGAACTTCAGAACRATCAGACTTTTGAGAAGACCACGCTGATGTTCATTCATTTCAATGTGGTGTTCTTAGATGTCATCAAGTCAGACTATCTGACACAAATCCCATACTGGCAGTGACAGCACTGGAGCTCCTCCAGGATGGCAGACCAATCCAGTGACCACCAGTCCACCCTTCTCCTTCCTCAAGCTCTGCACAATTATATGGGTGCTGCTTTCTCCAATCTCATTTCAGCTGATGTGGCCCTACAGAGGATGGATGCAAACGCCTATGTGGCCTTGAAGTATCTTCCTTCAGTTTCTCTCCATATTACAGGAGGATGCCAAAATTGGTGAGATTAGCCCACGCTAGCCTCAACTTCCTCAGGTCACAGTCGGCAGCCAAATAAACTGACCAGAATTTTGTGATGTAGCTAGAGGCTTCGGATGAGCGCTGCTTGAGATACTTCAAAGCAGGCTGATCTTCAGAGATTAGGTGATAGATGCATTTGAAAAGATTAAGCTTTCCTTTTAGAATCTTCTTAAGCTGTGAGAGGCAGAAATCCCTGCCAGAAGTGACTCACTTCCCATGCTCAGAAAGGCATTATCATCCAAAACTTGCTTGTGTGCACTTTGGTCCTTTTACTGTCGGTTACACCGCAAATCTCACCTGCCCAAACTAAGCTCAGAAGCGCATGCAAATCCTGGCATTCCTGGACAAATGGCACCTGGGAAATCTAGCAGCAACATTATTTAAATTAAATAAGGTGTTCCCAGGGAAGTATCAAGATCTCCTACCCACTGCTAGGTTAGAGATAGGATGTGCTCTGGCTCTTTGGAAATTCCCTCCTTGCAGACTGCTCAGGCATCTGCTGCCAAACCAGGCTTGCTTTCTCTCTGTGGGTGAGTGCTGGAATTGCTTTCCTTTGCTAAGTCTCCAATTTTGAGGAAACATGCAAGAACCGAATACCTTTGAGACCTCTGACCCTCTGTCAGATTCCATTAAAATGTACTAGCAAGTCCCTGTGTTAGGAGAGGGGAGATTGACTGCAAGGGTTTCGTTTCCTTTGGAAAAACATACCAAAACCACAGGTGTCAAAGAGTTCAATGGGAAAATGCATCACCATCAGGAGAGCAGCTTGAAAACTCTTTGATATTAAAATCTGTCCATTTCATGATTTCCCAGTTTATTGAAAAGTCACAGCCAACTGCCCATCTGTCGAGCTGTGGCTGCAGACCATCCAAGATCAACACATGGGTATCTTAATTGGGTGCTGCCCAAAAACAGCAGTCCTGAACAATTTGTTTAGAGGAATGGGAAATAGGGAAGCCTCCCTGGGAACCAGCAGGAGAAAAYAAAAGATCCTGCCTGCGTATCAGTGTCCTGAAAATGCAGCAACACGGTGTGGTCAAAAAGAGAAGGGGCATTTGAAAGTCAACCAAAATGTTGGTTGTCTTTTAACTGCTGCTTTCAACTATCCAAACTGCTGCTTGCAGTCCCACCATTTCCAGCCCCAGGGGGAAGAAGGGACTTGCAGGAGATGCCCAGTTTCCCAGAAACTCACATAAAAGCTGGTTTCATGTGAGAAGCTCACACAAAAGCTGGTAGAGCAGGGCTCTACCTCCAGTGGGGACTCACCCAGGAGCTGGTTGGCGGACGAGGTGGTGAGGTTGAACTGCTGCTCCAGGTATTTGCCCAGGAAGGCGGCRAATCCGGCCACCACGGCAATCTCCATGCATGCTGCCAGGATGATGCAGGTGAAGACTGGGTTGGAGAGCAAGTGCTTAGTTACTTTGGGGATCACTGGAAGAGAGAACAAAGGGAGAGGGGTTTCTGTGCAGGCCCTTCTCTAGTGATGGAGGGGCCTGGCAGCTCTCCTGCAGCACAAATGCAGGCTATGTGGATTCACTTTTCAGTCTGCGTAGACGAGATGTGACAACCCCAGAACAAAGGGGAACAGGTCCCGAAGTGCCATCTGAAAACTCAGATACAAGGAGGGTGCAAAAAAGTCACGTTTAAATTTCACAGATTGAAGGACTGGCATTTCCCAATACCTCTTTTGGCCTTAAAGCTTTCAGCTTTTGCCTCCTCCCAGGGAGGACAATCAAAGCCTTGTATTCTCTTTCTCCTTTCCCAATCTCATGAACAACGTGCAGTGGCCATTAGGCACCAGGAGTGCATTGCAGGGCAATGCAAATCCTCCCAAGCTTGCAGCCCCAGGTTAACCCCACTGGCCCTTGGCCTTTCCTATTCCTGCTGTCCGGGTCTGCTCTGCTTTCTTACTCCCGTGTAACAGCAGCTTGCTTGCTGAGGGCCACCTCCTTGCTGCACGTGCAAGCCGAAACGTCCCCGTTCAGCTGGGGCTGCAGCCTCTCGCAAGCACGAGGACCCTCATTCCTACACCAGACACAGCCTGCAGGCTCCTGTGCACGGCAGTGAGGCTGTCCCCGTGCACCCCAGCGCTGCATGGGCAGATGTGGAGCCAGAGACACACGCGCGACTCCAGCTTGGCGAGCGCCCGCTCCTCCCTCCTGAACCATTAGCAGCCAGCGGCCCCCCAAAGCCTGTCTCCATTTCCAGAAAGCAAACATGAATTACCTTACAAAGGGAAATCTGGCTAATGAATCAGATAGCACATTTTCTACTTCAGCGAACATTTTAATTATTGCAGAGATAACACAGCTTGACGAGGACGGCGTTCCAGTGTAGAACGCTTTGCTTTGTCTCAATATCCGGTGACTAATTTCTCCCTGAATTAAATGTGAAAATCATTAAGTTTGAAAATTACCTCTCTGAAGGGTAGTGAAGCCTTGGTGAACCCTATCTGCATTTTGAAAATCCGTTCCCATTCCCCACCTTCCTTCTCTGGTGTATTTGGTTCTGGCGGATGACAGATTCCTCTGGTGTGGCTCTGCTTTCCTTTAGGTCTTTTTCTTTTTTGGTGTAAAATTTAACTGCACTGGCTACAGTAACTAAAAGCACAGATTTTTGTCTTGTCTTCTTGGGTTTCCTCAGCTCATCTTTTCTTTTTTTGGGGAGAAGGATGTGAAGGGAGAGATTATAATTAGGCTTAATCTAATCTTTTTGGAAAGGGTCATTCCACAGATTCTGGTCTCTTTACATCACAAATGTTTCTTCATGCTGTATAAAAATCTTTGCCTCCCGAGGATTTGCTGAGCATAATGAAGGCGCAGGAGGCATAGCATTATTTGGTAGAAAAGGACAAAAAAGGAAAAAAAGCCACATAATAAAAAGAGGAGGGGAGTGCAGATATMGGTTGATCTCAAAAGTCACATGCTGCCTCTTTCATTTCTTTGGTGACCACCTACAGCATTTTCCTTCTTGCCAGGAGAAGGAGGAGGAAAGCAGAGGTGGACTTGGCAGAGCTGAGCTTAGAAAGCCATATTTAAGATATTACTGCCTGTTGTGCCTCTGGAGCTCAATTTGTACAAGATTAACAGATTCCTCGAGGTGTGGCTTTGTGCCAACTGCAACTCAAAACACACAGAGGTCTATCTGCAGCTTCATCCACCAAATAATAACAACCGCCTGTCTTTTGCAGGAGGGATCCTGGAACTATTTTTTTTCTTGAAGCTGGCAAGGCTGCTGCCAAACCATCATGCATTAGCGAGGGCAGGCTCATCTTCCTTGCTGAAAGAAAGCAACGATTTTGCAGAGCACCACCTCGCAGCCACCTGGCCCGGCAATGCTGGGCTGCAAGTTCCTTCCCTTCACCTMTGTTTTTCCTCCCTGGCTGTTTAGGCACAAATTCCCTGGGTTAGACACTCTCTTTCACTGCAGATCTGACCGTTCCCTACTGCAACAGGTCCCTGCACCAGCTGCAGCTGACACAAAACCCAGAGCAAGGAGTTGAGAGGCAAGGCAGGCAGATGCCTGGCAGCCTCCACCATCTCATCAGCCAGGCCAGCTCATTCCCTTTCATTTTCTAAGGAAAATGACAGGAGGCTCCCCATAGAAATGAATCTCCTTTCATCTTACTAGTGCCAAAAGTTAAGATGAATCATTTGACACCTGCTGCTGCCTTATCTGTCTCAGTTCTTGGGGTGAAATGCCTCTGGGAGCAAGATTAAAAGTCAGCAGTGAAGTTTAAAAACCTCTCCGAAGAATAGAGTGACGTGTGTTCAGCTGCCTGGCATATGGTGACGGGGAAGAAGGGGGAATGGAAAATGTTTGATGGGGRACAGAGCACCACTGGGGAACACACTGGCTAGGCACGTCTCTTCTTGCCTGGGTCCCAGGAGAAGACATGCTAAAGTTCACCTGTGCCTCGCTGACTCCGACAGAATTTMGATGTGCTCTTAGAAGTCCTCTCTGGCCCACAGGGTTAGCTGGACTCTTTGTAGCCACGCTTTGGGGGCATTAAGCTGAGGTTTAAGTCCTCTTGCCAAACTGGAAAGGTTTTTGGAGTCAAAATAGAACCTCAAAAGTCTTCTGGGAGAAGCTACTAGTTAAATCAGCCATGGTAGAGAAGGAAATCACCCTCCAATGCTCAGAACATCCACGTGAAYGGAAAGCTGGCACATGGCTTTAGAAACCTCTCCCCGGCTTCCCTCTTTTTCTGGTCCCATTGTACTGAAAAATACTGTGCCTCCTGCACCTTCATTATCTCTGCTCACTTAACATCCTTATCCCCAAAGCAGTGCGCCCACACGCTACAGAAACAACGGCAGACCAGAGATTTGCTTCGCCAGCGGCATTGAGAAGACCAAGAAGGCTGAGCCTCTTTTCTCTGCGGAAGCACTTAAAACCCACAGCCTCCAACATCCCACTTCCCACATCAGGCCYGGGGCAATTCGGGCGGGAAGGGCCTTAGGAGGATCCCTCGCAGCTCTGACTCATGCCAGCAGCTCTAACCCCTGGGCATCGCGCTGCTTTGCTCCATGAGCAACATCCAGCGATTCGAGTCACCGCTCGACGTCCCTCCCTCCTGCCCCGTGCCAGTTGTGGGTGACAGGCCGTAGGGTTTACAAGCAAATATACTCAGGTACGCCAAGTGGCTTTGATTTGTCGCTCAACATCGGGGAGTACGGGGGATAATTGGCAACCTCATTACACGAGGTTTAACTACTCTCCAGAAACGACAAACTGTAATAATCACGTTGGTGCTTGAAATGAATTGTTAGGCACATTACAATCACTGCGGCCCCTTTTTTCAGTTGGAGCACCCCACAGAGACATGTTTTCAATTTGCAGTAAAGATGAGGAACACAGAAAGCAAAGCAATAAATCAGATGGAGGTTTACGGCCCGGTCCACCTAGGACAGCGTGGTGAAGGAAAGGAGAAATATCGCACTGAGCCAAAGTGCTACCTTGTAGCAGCAAAGTAAGGAGTAAGTCTCGGATCTGAAGAGAAAACAAAGGCACAGATCTCCACRTGGCTTGAGGAATAAGGGATGAAGGAAACAGCACTGGCAGCACAAAGAAAATACCACATGGAAAGAGGCAGCTTATATAAAAGAGAAGACGGAGTAAGGCAAGCGACACTGAAGATAACTCAGATGAGTTTAATATGCCAAAGCCTAGGAGGTCTTGGTGAAATTAATATCACAGAGGGGGTGTACAAAGGAAAAGGATGACAACCATGGCAAATGGGCTTCTTGAGAAATATGGGCTTGAAGCAACAGTAAAGTTCTCTCAGARGCACACGATTTGTCACGCACAGAGAGCAAGTCCTCCTGGTCTGTCACCCTACCTCCAGCAACAGCCTTTGCTTGACTTCAGGAGGAGATGCAAGGTTCCCTTGTCCACGCGACACTGACCAGGGCAAGGTGCATCATCTTTATACTGATGGTTCCTCAACATGCTTTTTAGATGTTGCTGAGGTCCCAAGACCCAGATCTCAAAAGGTGATCAAGTACCTCTTTGGATATGAGCCAGATATTCCACAAATGGATTTATTTGAATGATTATACAAAAAAAAAAAAAAAAAACAGTAGAGCTTCTCTCAAAGGGTGTGCCCACAGGTGCTTTGCATGCATGTGGGAATGATCCCGGGAGCTCCCGGTTGGATTTGTGGTTACATGCACGCCTCCTGTCCCACATCGGGTCCCCAAAAAGGCTCCCACTAATGCCTGCCGAGAACCTTAAATCCTCCTGCTAATCATGCCCATTACCATGAAATCCCACTGGTTTTTCACTGTCCAGGACCCTCCTCCTGCTGTAGCTGGGAGCTCCTGGCCCAGCTCTAGGGGTCTGCTCACACAAGGACTTTTTGGGAAGACAACTCCCAGATTCAGGGCAGAGCTCTTGCAAGATATTCAGCAGACTGGTGTGCCCAGCAGGAGGGAAGGAAGCAAACAGAAGACGAGGCAGCTGTCAGGTGTACATCTCGCCTGCTCTGCCTTCTTGGAAACAAAGCTGGATGAAAACCAAAGTTTCCAAATCTAGGGAATTTGCAGTTTTGAAACTCAGCTAATTCCACAATGAATTTTCTTTTAATTCCTTGCGACTGAGCTTCTCTCTCTAAACSTGTAGGTTTTCATATCAGTTTCAATCCTTTAAAGTGTTTTCATCTCACTCTCTGGATAAACAGAAAAAAACATCTTAAGTTTCTGGTTTAAATCACTTCAAAACAAAGTGCATTTAGAGCAGCAGGTTTTGGCAGCATTAAAGGCAGCGAAGCATTTATGAAACCAAATTTAATCACAACTGACCACTCAAATCAGCAAAACATCACATTTTCATAGGGAAAAAATTTGATTTTAACAGAATATGAGCAGCCAAGAGCAACAGCAGCATCTCCCCATCTCCTCCTTGCTCTTTACACCGGCTTCCAGCTGTCTCTGCTCACCTACTTGTGCCTCATCCCACCGCATTGGTGGGGACACGCTCTGTCCCCACGTGCTGCCAGCTGTCTCGGCCACCTTTGATCGCCTCCTTGCCACGTGTCCTTCAAAGGCAAAGCTTTCGTTTCAAGTCCGAAACCCCTGTTAAGGGTGCTTCTGTTCCCAGCATGAAAACACCCCGCAGGAAGAGATACCACAGCTTCCCGATAGCCAGACCCTCCTTCCTGCTTAGACCTTGGCAGAGATGTAAAAGCCTCTCCAACACGGGAGCTGGTTGCTTTTGTATTAATTACTGCTTTCGGTGTGCCAAGACCGGTGAGAGACAACRAATCTCATGCCAGCTTTGCATCTCGGGGCCCTGTGGCAAATCCCTCAGTGTCCCAGAGCTTCCTCCCAGGGGGAAGCCTCTTGGCACAGCTCGGAACATCTGTCTCCAYGTGACACCACTCTCCCTCCCCTCCTGCCATGTCCATCCGCTTGCACTGTTGGCTGCATCTCCAAAGCCAACTGAGAGCTCARTTTAGCTTCCAGAGTGTCCTGCTGATACACAGGTACCAGGCCAAACTCGCACACGCTTCCCAAGGTCCTGTAGTTGGAACCAGGGAGTCACGGCCACATGAAACACCGTAGGCGCTTCCACACACAACCCTACGTGCAGCTGCCTCCTCTGCTCTTCAGCTTCACAAGTACACCCCAAAGCCCATGGCAGGACAYGAGATATGACTATGCATGCATATATATTCTTATCTTCGGTGTACAGGAAAAAAGGAATAAACAGACTAAACTTCATGCAATCAACTTAAGTGCATTAAAGATATTAGTTCATACAACATGTCCCTATGCAGATACATTTATCAGCTGCTGGTAAAAAAAAAAAAAGAGAGAGAGAAAAATAAAAGCATATATTCACAGCAAGATTCACTGTCAGGCATTCAGTGTCTTCCCCTGGGGAACATGTCTGAACGTCTCCCTATTCCAGTGGACACTTTACCAAAGACTCCTCTAGTTCACATCTGGCTGTGAAAAAATGAGTAAGAGATTCTCAAAACAGATGTCAACTGCCAAAATTAAGTCACCTATCATAATCTCAAAGGTGTGACTAAAAAAAATTCCTYATTTACTGCCTTACTTGACACAGTGTAAATCATAGGTGATCGACAAAAGGACATCTAGGCTCCTGACAGTCTGCAGTGCGGTTACCTACACCAAGGAGGTAAGTGAGGACCATGGTGCCCACTGGTGTCATCAGTATTCTGGAAGCACGTGCACTTGGCAGTTTAATTTCTGTATTTCGAGGAGTAATAGATGCTATAGTGACCTTYCTCTAAGGTGTGTAAGAAGCTCAGCTCAGTACTGCTCCCAGGGACTCTTGCAGCACTGAGAGATCTCATAGGCTTCACAGCCCCTAAACGAAGACCAGCAAAAACTTCTGGCATCCATTTCAAAAACTTACCAGTCAGAAACAAGCACTACAATACCCTAGTAAAAGACACAGAATTATCCTGGTGCATGTAGCACAGAAAAAGCCCATTTCCAAAACATGGAGAACTCCTTGCAACAAGGACAGATAGATGAAAAAAATCAGTCACTCTATTGAAAAAAAAAATSTTAAAAATTTATCTTTTTACCTTTCCATCTTTTGAAACTTCTCAAAATTTCACATCTGTGACCTTTTTCTAATGAACCGCATCAACTATTCAAGGCATTTTTACATAATTTAGGAAAAAAAGTTTTCTTAAAAAAAATCTTTTTTCTTCTTTTTTTTCCTCCTTCCCACATTCACCTCCTTCAGCTCCCAATTAAGGCATCTGCTCAGGGAGTCGGTGACTGTCCCCACTGATCAAACAGCACGAGGCCGTAATGGAAGCAGCTCTGCCACAGTGACAGAAGAGCCCGCTCAAAGGCAGAGCAGACCTGCCCACACTCTGCCACAAAAGGCTGGATTTTCTGCTGACCTTAATTAGAGCCGAGTCCATTTACACCCTGTAGGATCCTATGTGGTTTTCTATTCTGATTTGCTAGGAGACATTTTCTGGCCTGTCAAAGACCTTGTTGCTATTCCTGGCACGCATTTAGGGCTGTTCTTCCCCAAGGCTGTGCCCAAATCSCAGTTTAAGGGCAGCACTGGTATCCAGTGCTCCCAGTCTATGCCCGGGATTGCACTACAGCTCCAATGCTGGGAAAACTCCAGTTCCTTCAATCTCCTTGTCACTTTGGGAGGCTCAAGGTAGTGTATTCCCCTTCGTTTTTATCAACTCTACAGGTCTTGCACGGATTCCTGATGCTCTGTAGCTAAAAAAAMCCCAAATCCTTCAAGTGGAACAAACTCTCTCTTCAAAATGAGGACCATGTCAGAAATAATTAGAAGCTAGGGACAGATATTTGAGGACACTGTTTCATTGTTGTTTTTGTGGGGTTTTTTTGGATGTTTTGGGGAGTTACCTCGCAGCTGCTGGAAGCAGGAGGTGGTGCTCTCGGCGTCCAGCGCGTGCCGCAGGACCCCRTTGCTCGGCTTGGGCCTCTCGTAGTCGCGCTCGGGCAGCATGGCCTGCTCGCTCTCCACGGGCAGCTCGGCCCGCGGAGGCAGTGACTGCGGGAACCCGAACATCGGCAGGGACGAGAAGAAGAGTAAGGCACCACAGAGCAGGAAGCCTCCCCACCACGCGCCGATCCAGCGAGGGTCGTCYGGGGTGATGTCCAGCTTGCCTGCAGGGGCACACACGGGCGTCAGCAGCTCAGAGGGCAGCGGAATTAACCAACACAGAAGCTCAGAGACAGTTTTGGGGGGGAACTCTTGGCTTGTTCACAGTGAGGATTGCCTAGATACAAGGAGAGGCATCTCTGGCCCTTCCTATATCCATCTGATGTGAGCCACCTCCAAGGAGCATGTGGCACAAGCCAGAGGCTTCTTTGCCCACGTGCTCAGCACCTCCAGCTTCTGCAAATATCCCTTAACCACAGCTTCTCCCAAGGGCCTTTGGCTCTGGCAGCTCTAGGGGAACCTCTTACTTGCTGTTTTTTAGTAATGTTCCCCTGTGCTAACAGCTAAGCTATGGGTATCACTGGCCCAGGGTGTCAGCTGTGCAGAGGAAACAAACCCTCACTGCCATCCTTAGCAGCTCCTGGCTGGTGACGTGATCTTGGGGTGAAATGGTTAAGGATGAGGTATGAGAGCCAGCACAGCTGGAAGATTGGGAAACATGCTCAAGTAAGGCTGGTATGTCCCACCAGCACAAAAGACTGTGGAAGAGAAGCAGCACAGACAGGGACACCTCATCTCCACTTTTACCCTTACTTCTCTATGCTTACCCCTTTTTTCCTCCAAGACTGATGCTCTCCCTGCTTTGAATTCACAAGTGAGAGTTTGCAAAAGCAAAGATGAGATGGGCCACTTGGTTTTGAGCTGTGACCACATGGACGGTGAAACTGCTCTAAACACTGGAAAAGAAACCCACTCACTGCATCAAATGGGCCTCAGGAGGGTATGAAAAATGAGAGTGAATGAAGAAAAGCAGAGTTGAAAAAGAAGAGCATCCTGTGGGCCATCACTCAAAAGAGATAAGGGAAAAGAAGCTACTGGAGTCAACTTGGGAAAACAAAAATTGGCAGGAGGAGAGAAGAAGCCGTATTCCTAACAGCAAGCAGGTCCCTGCAGGAAGGGCAGGCAGAAGGTGCCGGACCCGGGCGCTGCTCCCGCGGGAGATCCGTGCCCGCGTGGCTGGAATAACAAGCTCCTCCGCTCGCGGTGTATGTCTGGTTACAGCCGCTCTGAAAAATCTGTCTCAAGTGAAGCAATCAAGTTGTCTCTCAAGCACAGACAGTAGGAAACTCTTCTCTCYGTAGGGAAAATAATGTGTGGCTCTCAAATATATATAAAGTTTGAAAAATAGTGTTTTGGAGAGATTGAATTCTTTTGCTGTTATTTCTTCTCTCCTGTAATGTATTTTTTTTCAGGCTCTTGGAAACACAACCACATGGAAAGCTACATAAACAAAAATCTTCCTCATGTTCTCTTCTTGGAAAAGGCGCTGTGAGCAGCCGCCTTCACACAACAGTGATGGGCCCCAGCCAAAGACAGCTGGACCTGCAGCTGAACAGCACTGCATCCTATCAATAACCTGCCCGGCCACACTCCCCTCGGCCTTGTCAGGGATAATGGTCCACTCTTCTCTCCTCTGCGGTTTCAAATTTGGTGTTTTTGAGCTGTAAATGTGGAATAATCACCTTCCATTAGGAAAGGCTGCATTATACTTGACTAATGTTCCACCTCGGCCAGCATCCTGCCTCTGACAGTGACCAACTGCAGGCGCCCAGAAAGCCTGCAATAACAAGTCATCATATTCCTGACATTATTCATCCAGATTCTTGTTATTTGTGGCTCAGTGACTTCTTAGGCTATATTTAATACCATTTTTTTCTTCTATAAACTTGTCAAGTCATTTCTGATTCTACTGGTAAACTTTTTGCATTCTGTGGTGAGGAGTTCTACAGCTTTACTTACTGAGAGAAATATWTTCTCCTGTAAATTCACATTTTCTAGAAAATGATACTTAATGGTCACAGGTGTAACGGTGTCCAAACAAGCTATTCTCTCCACAGGACCACATGAACCTTGGCATGCCTTTCTTATAGGAAGGAATGAGAGCGGACCATGTGTTATGTCAGAAACCACTGCTAAAAGTTTCAGCCATCAGAAAGAAGGCTTCTTCCCTGATAATTCGGGGTTATTTAGATTTCTTGAGCTCCCACATGCGTGCCAGACCTGGAAAGAACTTTTCTGGTCTTTCTGGACCTTTTCTAGCCCTTTTCTGGGTGCACACAAGTCCTGAAAGATTGAACTTCATCCAAACACATGCTATAAAGATGCAACACCATAAAACCTGAGCAGAACTATGTAAGGGACAATATCTCTAAAGCAGGAGAAGAGCCTATTGGGATTGGATRGAGCTGGAAAATGAAGTGGAAGCATTTGAAAAACTGAGAAAAGAGAGTGAAGCATCAGGTTTGCAGGCCACAACCTTGGCTTGAGGTTGCAGGAGAGAAAAGACTGTTTTGCATCGCCCTCTCATGGCAAGCAGCACATACTGCAAAGGTTTCAGGTTTTTTTCTTTATGAATTAAAGGACAATTTGCTCTAACACAAACCCTGGAGCTCCTAGTGCTCCCCTTTTGCAACTCAAGAAAGTAAGAGCTCCCAGTTTCATTCCATGTCCTGGACACAACTTCCCAGTCAAGATTATGTGCCCTGCTATGGAGATATCTTTATGTGTGGGCTTAGAGCTCGGCTGAGACCCTTCCCAAACTCATTTCACAATGAAAGGCCATGGAAGTGAGCAGCTTACAGCCACTACAGATCTGTTATTTACTGGGAGAGAGCTGACAGGGTGTGAACCCCAAACATAAAACTCCACAACCTATATATGTAGGAGACTCTTAAAAWGGAATAAGAAAGTCTCCCAGTTGCAAGTACCAATGTTTTTGTCCCTCTGACACAGATGCACTCAATCAGAAATCAAACCCAGTTCTCCTTACTTGTGTCAATGAAGACAGCATCCACGTAGATTTTGGTACAGAAGGAGCCCAAGATAAATCCACAGGCTGGTCCAAATACCAGCATCGTAAACAGGATCCCTGAAAGAAGAGAGAAAGCAGAACATTAATACCAGGCTCAGGTTATTCATTGCAAGTTGCTTGGTTTGCCTTTGTACCGCCCTCCTGGCGCCGAACAGGTAGGGATTTGTTTCTATGTCAAGTGGATGTATGCCTTGGACTAAAGGGCTCCCTAAATCTTCTTTGCTTTGCCATAGCCCTTCCTTGCGTTGCCTCACAGCTCTTCCACTCCTCATGAGGACTCACTTCTCTTCAATACCTGTCTACTGCCAGGCAAAGCGGTGACTGGAGGCGATTGTGATTCACTTATTTGTGTTAGAATTATATTTAGAATTCTTGATTCTCACTCCCTTTTGGCCCTGAAACAGGAATGCTATAGGCATATTGCCAGCTCTCGATTACCCAGGGCAGAAAGGCTGGGGGACAAGAGAATCATGCAGGGAAAGCAGCACCACTGACAACATAAAGCGCTCGCAAAACTGGCAACAGGAACATACTTAATACTGTCACCTTTAGGATGGAAAACAACAAAAAAATCCCAGAGGAGCCCTGTAAATGGATTTCTGAAGAAAGCAAGTGCGGGTCTGAACAAGAACAGGAGGAGCAGGGCCTGTTTGCAYGCTCCAGGGCCGGGCTTTGCCAATCGACCCGGGTGGCAAGGCCAGCTGGCTCACCAAAAGGCAGGCACCAAATTGAGCTGTCACCAGCCYTGTTGTCCCCTCAGAAGTGTCCCATGAGGGAGTTCATTTTTGGCATGTTCTCTTCTTCAGTAATRAGATGCATCTCCCATTTTTCTCCAAATCCTGCTGCAGGTGCTGCCTGGCACCTTGCTAACACATTTAGTTGCATCAAGTTCCTTAGCTGGAAACTTTTAAATCTTACATGGTCTCTCTCTGAGCAGTTCTCAKGAGTTTGAGAACAGATCAAAGCTGCCAAATATCCCTCAGAAATTCCCACTCTCATGCAAGGCGAACTTATCTGCTGATGAACACTTTGCTGAGCAGAAAAAGCTGTCACAGTCAAAAATAACTTGGCCTTCATTTCTACAATAYGGACACAAACTAATTCCTGCAGGTCTGTGGTACTGTGAATTAACGTTTGGATTAACATTTAAGAACAAAGCAACGGCTCCATTSAGCCACTCGTGCAGAAACCGACCTTGCTAATACCCTCCCAGCAATCACCTGCAGGAGCAGGGGGAGAAAGGAAGAAGGTGAAAAGAGGAAAAAAAAAAAAGTCTGTCCCTTTTTGATGCAAAGACTGGTAGGAAGTGCTTAGAACGACAGAATTTCCAAGAGCCTTTTCTGACTCATCCACGTGGCATTTTTTCCATCACTAGATGGCACCAGTTGGTTGATGTTCAAGCCAGGCCCAGGCTGGCACATGTGAGTGCAGGTGGCCAGTGCACTRAGATCAGGTAGAGCTTTGAAGCCTAGACAATAATTACAAAAGTTAAAACAGGCAGACCTGAGATGAGATTATCCTTCACAAAAACAAAACAAACCAACAACAAAAAAAAAAAACCAGGGATTTTTTTCCCCATTTCCAAGAAAGGGAGCAGAGGCTTTTTGATAATGATCTGTCAATACCTGGGATAGATGTGCAACAAGGTAGTTGAAGCAAACAGCTAACTGCGAGAAACCTGTATCCAACATGCTCACATATTTCATTTTCCAGGGCAATCCTTGTAACTGGTGAATGTTCCTGTTCCTCACGCTTCTTGTATTGCTGCAAACAACCATCTCGGGCACAAACCAAGCCATGTCCTCACGTATTAAAATGCCACATTTCCTAAGCTGGCAGCTGAAACCTGGGACACGTTGCTCACTCAGAAATGTTGTCGCTAGAGGGCAATGTGGGATAAAGCATCCACTGAACAGGGACACAAGATTTTACTGTAAGATATTAAGTAGTCATTCACCTCTGGGCCAGGTATAAGAAACACTCAGGTTAACTGTGTTTTTACTCTTGCTACACTTCCACCTGAAATCCTGCAGACAACAAACATGCGCTCTCCTGATGCACTCCATGCAGTCGTCTCTCAGTAAAATCCCATGTTTGCAATTACAGTGTGTGGAACTAGAGGAAATTTCTCCACAGGAACTTAAAGAAAAAATTCTTGACAGTGAGAGTGACAGAGCACTGRAACAGGCTCCTAGGAGAGGTCGTGGAGTCTCCTTCCCTGGAGAGCTTCAAAACCTGCTTGGATGCAGCCCGTGCCACCTGCTCTAGGTGACCTTGTGTGTGCAGGGAGGTTGGACTAGATGATCWSCAAAGGTCCCTTCCAACCTTAAGGTTCTATGAAATATCCTGGTCCTGAAACGGCCCGAGGCACAGGTTGATGTGACAGCTTGGCCAGGCTTCCTCTGTAGAGCAGGACCATGCTCAAGGCTCAACAGAGCATCCCAGGTGCCTGTGAAGGCTATCAGGATCCTGCTCATGGTTCAACATTCACGGGGAACTGAAGGCTTGAGGGGAAACTACTCAAAGCAGAATTACCTTTAGACATCCTGCTGCTTTGGAGAAACTCTCTGCAATCACTGATGGCCACAGGTTGTAGCAAAACACTTTCCATGTTGTTCACCTAGTAACGCAAATAAGAGGCTGCTGGCAACAGATCTGGTAACCACCTTCTCCATATAGCATGTTTCTGCCTTTTTTCCCTTTCAAACTGCATATAACGGTGCTGCTTCCTATCTCAGGGGGCTTCAGAAGTGGAAGGTGGTCCTTGGCAGAAAGAGACACACAAAGTAAAACATCAGCAGCTCAAACTAAAGAAAAGTTTTTGATGGGGGAAAAAAAAATCTCTCCCTTTTTCCCTTTTTGAACTGGGCAGTTATATGTGATTTTGCCTAAGGGACAAGGCGGTCCAGCGATAGCCACAAAATCCACACATGGGAATGGGGAGGGCAGGGAGCCCCGTGCGACGGTCCCGTGGATGCTGCCGAGGACACGGGCAGACAYTGGCAGCGGGTGCCCTCGCCAGGACCCTGCACCACTCGCTCCTCGCCGGCCCGGGACAAGCCCCTGGTGGGAGCGCGGCGGGAAGCAGCGCTGCCGAGCTTGGGATAATCTCCCAACCGGCTTGTCCCACATTTCCCGCTGCGGCAGCGGATGGGGCTGGCCGGCACACAGGGATTATGGAATGGAGCTGGTGTGACCTGCCCTTAAAGGGACATCACGGTGGCCTGCGAACCGGGATACGAGCCGGGCTGCTGCCTTCGYCTTCCAAACAAACCCTTAAGGGCTTTGGGAAAGGGCTCCTGCACTCAACCCGTCCTCCTTCACCTCTTCTTGCTGCTCAGCTCCCCGGCCGCCCGTCCTCTCGTCACCTCTTGTCCTCCTTCACTGGGTGGAAAGCTCAGAAATGCAGCCCTGTGCTGGCTTCTGCCCTCACTGTGATAAGCTCAGAAATAATCAAAATGCAAGAGGAAGAAAAAATCAAAAGGAAAAGAGAAATCCTTGCTCTGCTGGCCTTTGACATCGCTGGCTTGGCTGCCAGCTGAAACAAGATGACCAACAAGACTGCGGAGAAACAAACCAAGCCACGAGAAAAGCTGCCCAGCTGCCCAGACTGGGTTTGCCAACAAGACAAAATAAAAGCAGCTGGTTTGCAAGCGCTGCAGGGCAACCTACGTGGCTACTCCCACTCCAAACCCAGCGCTGCTTTGGTGCCCACCTGCTGGTGCTGGGACCTGCCTGCTCCCCGAACCCTTTTCCTGATCGGCATCCCTTGCTCCAATTCTCTCCTCGCTTAGGTGACGTTCAAGCTCATGGTACTTAAAAAGAATCATCCTTAACGGTATAAACATTGCTTAATGCCCATAAAATACATACATTTCTTCCTCTAGGGAGCATGCATAGCTTAAATACACATTGCAAAATATTAGAGAGACTGCAATAAGGGAAACTTTTGAAAAAGGAGCTTGATAGTCTAATATTCAAGCTCCTCAACACCTTGTGCCCAAATCAAAGCAAAGCCCTCTCTGCTCTGYGTACCCTGCTGGCTCCAGCATCCCTGTTCCCTAGGAAGGAGGACCAACGCTAAGCACTGAAGCCTATCCTGGAACATAAGGACAAATAACTCGCTCCTCCTACCCTTCTGTCTCACATCCCCATCCCAGAAACACGCTTGTTATCACATCCTTAGAAGGAGCCAACTCAGTTTAAGGAGGGCTATAAGAACATACCTATGGCATACAAACCCATGGCGGGCCATGCAGCGTGGCGCAGTCCCATGAGATACAAATTCCAGCCCTTGGGAGCATGGTGCCAATGTGCCAATTGTAGCTGCGGGTTCCAGTGAGAGATTTCCACATTTCGAGCACATTTCTCCTTGCTAATTACCCTGGGAAGCAGCCACCAAGCATGCTCGGGAAGAGCAGCATGCTTCAATGCCAAGCATGCTTTAAAGGGCTTAAGCGGCATGCCTTGGAGCTGTGCTCACATCCTCCCAGCCGCTAAACACCAACACCTGTCTTAGCAAGTCCAGGGGGCTGCTTTACTCTAGAAGGCCAAATTTCCTTCCCCTTCACTAATTTCACAGGAATTGTGCCAATACTATGGAATTTGGAAATGCAATTGTAGAGCAGTTTTCACTACAGAACCCCAACTCCCCTCTTAGCTGTCCGATTTCTTGTATATCACTGGGTCTTCCAGATGCCATGCAGAAGGCTAAGGATGCTGTTGGCAACAAAGCCCTTCCCATCCCTTTCTCCTCTATTTGSGTAAGGCTTTTTCCTGCAAGATGCCCCATTCCCTTTCCTCTTCTCTCAACCCAGCAGCAACAGGAGGACTCTGCTGCTACGATTCCAGACACTTTTAATGTCTTTAACTTGGCATTAGCCATTCATGGCTCTTCTTCTTGTGCCAACAGCACCTGGGATTTCAAGGCTCCCCTCCAAGCACCACGTGGGACAAGTCTTCAAGAGCAGAGAGGTTGATACCCCATCAGACTACAGTCCCCCAGGTCACCCTGGACAACGGGCTCGTTGCAAACATGTTGGTTGAGGTTTATCCTT